GGAGGAGCTGAGGATTGAACCAACAACCCTCCGATTAGTGGACAACCCGCTCTGCCTCTGAGCCACAGCCGTCTAGCTAGCTTAACTCCCTACTTACATCAAAGGGGCCCCACAGGAGAAGGTCCTGTCACCCTTTCTCTTCGCCCTCTACACCTCAGACTTTAGCCAAGTCCTGCCACCTGCAGAAGGTCTTGGACAACTCTGTAATTGTGGACTGCATCAGCAGGAAGGAGGCTGAGAGTACAGGGGCATAGTGCACTTCTTTGTTGAGTCTTGCTTTCCAGCAGAATTAGTTCCACCAAAATAAGTGGGAACATGGGCTATCTTTGCGACACTGGCCCCTGAGCTCAAAGACCTTTAAAGAAACAATGGCAGCATAATGACTGACCTCTCCCAGTGGCTGCATACGTTGGGATCCTCCAGGTTGAGTGAGGAAGTGATGCATGGCAGGAAACAGAAGGCCACAGCCAATAGGACTGTCCTGTGGCAGCGCAATGACACGGCCATATCGGTCAAAGCTGCACCTACAGACAGGGGAGGACGAAGATAGGACACAAGTTAACCGTCTGTATTGGAAGGTCTCAGTTTCACAAACTATTTAAAATAGAACAGAATGAATTTAAATAAGAAAGTTGTTTAGTCCCAAATTTAATTAACTACAGGAAAAAATAAATATATACTTAAGAGACTTTTTCATGTCCCTCCTTTCCGAATGAGCCACCTGGTTCCATAATGAATACATTGTTCTTGTTCAACACTTTAGCTGTAGAGGCTATGCCAAGAATTCATGACATACTAGCACAAATAGAGTGTACAGCCACACTAAGCCACCTGAGGGAGGCTTGCAGGAGGACATGGGAGTGGAAATCACAGATCGGTGGAGAGAGGCCCAAGACCATATCCTTTCCCTCTGCATCAGACATGGACTATTGGAGTTCAAAATATTACACAGACTGCACCTATTAGAACTGAGACTCTCCGAGATGTTTCCTACGGTAAATTCTTCCTGTGATCGATGTGGACAGACACCGGCTTCATTAGCACACAGGTTTAAGAACTGCCAAACAGTTATAAAATACTCCAAACTTACAGAAGCAACTCAATCCTGACCCAATTCTGGCAGTTATCATAGAGCTGTCAAACAACCAATAAAATATGATAACACTGTGAGACAAATTCTATTGAACTGGAAGCACAAAAAGCCACCAGCCCCTCAACCATGCTGAAAAAAATAATATAGCACTAAGGAAAGATGGACATGTTTGATTTGATATGGCAACCTTGTATTGGCAATTTTAACAGGCAGAACCCATAACTGCTAATTGATAAGTGACTTATATTGTTTGTGTGGATTTGTGCAGGATTATGCACATACTGTATGAGCATGACACATGGGTAAAGCCTGAAAATGTGTTATTACATTATGTTTTCTCATTGAAGTCTTTTTGTTTGCACAATCTGGCCAGAGCGAGGATTTTAGAGGACCTGCAGGCTTTGCAACTTGCAGCATGCTTTCACCACTAAACACATTAGTCACACACACTTTCAGTGAGAACCTTCAACTTGCAAAGTGGCGCCTTTAGTCTTGCAACATAAATGTTTGATTAAAACAAATCTGGCCCGTATAATCAACAGTATTCAACACAGTTCTATCTTTACTGGCTGTTGTTGAACCACGAAACGAAGATACAGTGATTTCTCTTTACATAGCTGTGGCATTTTGCTTTCCACAATGACAGAACTCCATAAGCAATTGGTGGTTCCACAGTGCTCTGCTGTTATTTAGGCTTCTTATAATGATAAAGAAGACTTGTATGAGACAGTTTTTGTCCAAGGAGCAAAGTTTTTATAACAGACTCACTGTGTATGGACAAGAATCTGGCAGTACAGTACATATCACGATACAGATTCAATATATTGTGATATTGTTTTATGCAACCAGAACAGTGGGATCTACATTTGTATTTAACACAGTCCCATCCAACATCATACCCCTTAGTTTAAATTTACAACAGTGCTATCAAGCAGTTGGGGGTTTAAACACAAAAAACCATACTGCGTGTTTGAGAGTCGATACAGTATTACAGACTGGATCTTTGACAGATTTTATATTTATTTTTATATGGTGTAATATGATATGATCTGATATACAGACCTGGATATAGAACCATAAATTCAGATACCATTGGATCTTTCTGGATACAAGTAATTTTTGTCCAGTGCTGGTGTATTGGTATATTTTCTTACATCTCTAATAGTAAATATAAAAACTACAGATTTTAAAGCTGGAAATGGAAACACTCTACATTACTGGTTCCCAACCTGGGGGTCCTGTCCCCCATGTAAGGCTTGCCAAAGCTTCAAGGTGGGTCATGAGGCCTTCTTTTAAGGGCCGTAAGAAAACTATAAAATATATATACACTAGGCTATTATCTCAGCATTTCATGAGAAAGAGAGTTTCTGAGAAGAAAACTGAACAAAACGGTTATTTTTCAAGTTTAGATTATTATTTAGGATATGAACTAAAGAAAATCTAATGCCAAGCAGAAGCAACACTGAACTTCTCAAAAAAGCCTATTACGTTTGTATGATTGTATGAGAGCTCCTAGAATGTCAGAAAAACTCAAATCACTCAAAACTAATCTGCTCACAATTCATCCAAAAGGCTTGTTTTACAAAATCTTCCTGCAATTATTGTGTTTGGGTTCATTGTGAAGTTCATCAGTGGTTCACTACTTGTTATGCACTGAATATAGTATAAAATATCTATAAAATATGTAATTTAGTCAGTTTATTTAGGGATAGAAAGGGGCTTGCTTAAGGAAAAAGGTTGGGAACTAATGATCCGTCTGCATTGCATAATTTTATACACATTTCAGTCGTACATATCTGATAGCTTTGCAAACCTTAGGCTCTCCACTAGAAATTAAAATAAAGTTTGGTTAGTTTGAACAAAGTTTAGAGACAGAGCATGTGCATCTTGCAAGATGGAAGAAATCAAAGCTTAGAGTTGCTATTGTGAACTTTGTTTACTGGTCTATTTCTAGGCAGCAAATCAGATGCTGGTTCCTCTGTGGGCTTCACTGACAAACTATAAATTTCTCATTTTTACCCAGTAAGCAGTGGTAAAGGGCATTACATATTTCAACAAACAGCTGCAGCTATGAGTTGGGTTTCTACCAGGGTTTGAGGCAAGATTATGTGACTTCTAACAATATAACATTTCAGCCAGTCACATCACATGGAATGGATTATTATGTATGTGGTGTTGATGTTTAAAATCTAGGCATCTGACCTTGTTACTCCCCAAAAAGAAACACCAAACTCCCACAGCAGGGAGGTGGGGAGGGAGGATACTACTTACACCCTAGCGCAGCGGGCAGCACGGTGGCTCAGTGGTTAGCACTGTCTCCTTACTGCAAGAAGGTCCTGGGTTTAATTCTCAGTGGGGGCAGGGCCTTTGTGCGTGGTGTTTGCGTGGGTTTCCTCCCCCATCCCCAGTCAGTTTACAGGGTATTTCCTGCTTATTTTACTTAATTAATAAAACTACAAAAATAGCCTGTGAATTTATATGTCTAATGTAATGTAAATATTCATAAAATGACTCCCTTTTTCACATAAAAATAAGTTAAGAAGTTAAAATACATTTGTAAACTGATCATTTTTTGCATATATTTACAGTAAATAACTGTATTTAACTGTTGAATTCAAGTTTAATGCTGTTAATACATTTCTAAAAGTATGTAAAAAGACAGTTAACAGTAGAAAAGGGTATTTGTTCTGTAATTTTACATGGATTTGTTTATTAATTGACAAATATCTTGTATAATTATGGAGGTTTTCACAACAAAAATGTTGAATACATGTTTTTTAACATTTTAAGCATTGGTAAACTGTCAAAATACAGTTTTATCACTAAAAATAGCAAAAATTACTGTAATTTCATATTGAGTTTTATTACAGTTTTTTAACTCTCTAAAATTCAGATCTAATAACAACAGCACTCTTCTATGAATTTAAACCTGATTATTTGTATTATAGCAGTGTTTGCCTGTATTTACAGATTATTTCATTGTTTTACATGTGTAAATATCTTTAATTAAACATTAAAAAGCCAAACAAAAAAATACAACGGCTTTTATGTAAAATTAAAGTTAAAAACTGTATTTTAATTATAGAGAAAAGAGAAAATTACTGTGTTTTTAGGCTAGGTAGTTAGGTAGTTAGGTAAATAGGTATTTTGCAGTATTTTTTGATGCTCGAGCTGCCAGAATTATACATTTTTTTTACAGTGTTGCTCAGATCTTGAGTTCGTCCCTGGGTGCCGCACAGTAGCTGCACCACTAAGGCAAGTGAGATCTCATCTGTTAGATAATAAGATAATAAGACAGAAGATCAAGACACAAATCATGGATCTGTAATCACTCACAGTGTTTTGCTGTAAAGGGATCTAATTGTGACGGTCATTTCAGAGCTGAAGTGTTTTCATGGAGCAGGAGGACACAGTAAACCCAGTCCTTGTGGGTCGGTGTCCTCCCGGCCTCTGTGTGTCTTTCAGAGCCATTCAGCAGAACATATTTTTCTGTCTGCCCAGTGAACGGTCTAACAAAACATCCTGAGCATCAGTAGTCCTGTCACATCACCTGTGTGGACATCAGAGAGACAGAGGACATTCAAAAACCCAGGCAAACAGAAGTTAAGTCAACAAAAACAGAAAAAATTGCAGTGATGATTACGTCATATATATCAGTGTGTTCATGAGGAATTGTATCGAGTCTTTCGAAAGGTATTTGATATCAGTTTGGCATTTACAGAGGGCACTGTATTTACAGCAGCATGAGTGTCCACAGTAAGTATGTCTGGTCTTCTTCCTTAATGGTACAGAAACAGCTGGCGACGACAGCACTTTATTACTCCAGCTGCCTGATGGTTCTCTAGTAAGTAAGCTTAACTTCAACGGGCCAGCGAGGTTTGTCTTCTGGCTAACCTCGTTTCAAAAGTGTTGCTTGATAGAGGAAGCCTGCAAGATGTCTCCAGTGGCTGTATGGCTGCTGACAGTGTGTCTGTGCAGGCGCTTTATGGGCCAACAGGGCCAGTCCTCTCTGGTTTCACTGAGCAAAGAGAGGGCACAGCTGCAGCCACCAACGCTGATACCCTCCCCACCCAAAACAACTGCACTGCTGCACGAACAAGGGTCGTGCTGTGTGCGTGGAAGGACTCCAGACACACAACCCCTAATGGAGCGGATTAGGCCGAGGCTGCACAACTTTGATACACTGTTCCAGGCAGCACAGTATTGACGCCTCTCTGTCCACTCACAAAGGACAGCCAGGACAACTGAGACCTGCTGTCTGAAGTCCCTCCAGGGTCAGACAAAGGCTGCACTCAGGCCACGGACCAATATTTATTAGCAGACACATGCAGTTTTTGGGGCCCGTTTTCTTGAATGAAACATCCAAATGTAGCTAAAACAAGCTGCTCAGACACCTTAATTGCTAGCAGTGAATGCTTTAGTATTTTGTAA